TTCTGGCTGCAGAATGTGTTGGAGGCAGTTGTGGTACAGAACTTGTGGGAATGGCCAACTAGTGTTGTTCTGGTTAGCTTGAGGCCCACGCCACTAGAGGGAGCCCATGGCCCACACTGCCTGGATGGTAAGGCACTAGAGACTGAACAGTCCAGAAATCTAGGATAGAACCAAATAGGACGAATATGTATATATCACAGAGAAGAAGCAGCAAGCTTGCGGTCTGCAAGATCTGCACCAAGTCCTCTGCGATTACATGATGGATATCAGCTTGGTGTTTTTGTGGGACTCCTAACAGTGGGAGCGGGTGCATCTCTGATTCTTTTTGTCTGCTCTTTGTACTTTTTTTTTCCTATTGGGTTACCCACCCTCCATATGAGGGCTTTTGTCTTGTCATATTGTATCTTGTTTTGTTCTGTTTGACTGTTGTCTCTTTGAGACCAGTTGTTATCTGAAGAGGAAATGAAGGAGTGGATCTAGGGAACAGGGAAGGTGAGGTCTGGGAGGAGTGGAGGGAGAGGAAACTGTGCTCAGGATGTACAGTATGACAGCTGAATCTATTTTGAAGTAAAAATATGTAAAAGTACACTAGAAAGTAAAACAAAAATTGAAGACTTTTAAATGACTTAGTTTCAGCTAAATTTCTATTTTCTCTTTGATATGACTTACTTTAGAAGTAGACAGTACAATAAGCAATCAGATGTTAAGAATATTTTAGGAATGACATTATACAATTCAAAATGGAATTATAAAGGGCACTATGTGTTGCTTTGATGTCAGAAAAATGAATAGAAATTACAAGGATATATTTGAAAAGGTGATTGCAAATTTGAGACTACGACTAAAAAACTTACAAAAATTAAGGGACCTAAAAGCTAAAAATAAAATAACTACATAGATGACGATATTCCTTTGAAACAAAATTCAAAAGAGATTGAAGACTCCTCGGATGGGTTTTGAACCCATAGGATTCTGATGGCATGATCCAGCTCTCAGAGACTCTCAGTCCCTGAACAGCCTGACCTCAGCTAGCTTCTCAAGGGAGCACCCTTCTCCTCATAAGGTCTCCATCTTGAGAAGATTGTAAACCAAAACACTGGGGCTGCCTGTGGCTGTGGGAAGAGGCAACACTTTGTCTTGCTTGGTAAGGGAGCCCACATCTTATACATGTGTGCTGTCTCCCACTAGAACGTCTCCAAACAAGTGAGGTAGCCTGGCACGGTGGGCCCAGGGGAGTTACTGGAAGTTCTAGAAGACAGTAGTAGCTACAGCTGCAGCACAGGTAAAAGCATCGTCACCTTGCTTCATCTCCAGCTGTCATATGTATGGGAAGGCCCTAGACAAGGCAGGGTCCAGACCTGTCTGATAAGAGTCTCGATGAGTGCCTGGTGTCCAAAGCTGTGGCCTCTACTTGACATGCCAATGTTGAATCTCAGTGATCTCTTGGATACAATTGGCACGGCTTTAATGGAGAGCCCTTAGCAATGACCTTGTACTATAGGCTGCAATATATGTGCTAATATAGCTTAATGAGTCAGATTTTGAAAGTCTGTTAGTGTTTTTCAGTTGGAGGATAGTATGAGTGAAAAAGAGTCAGCCTTATTTTGTTCAAAGAGAGTCAAGTCTTCCACACGTGTTACAAGTTTCACAATGCAGTTCATTGTGAAATTATAAGTTTATCCTGAAAAGGTAGTTTTCCTAAATAAATGTCAGTAAAGGATTCTTAATTGATTCTCCCATTTGTCACCTAACTAAATAGGCACTGTGTGCTTGGAACTATGATCTTACTGGCCTCACTTTCAACTACACTGAAAGGTACAGACTCAATTCATACTGCCTTATAGAATAATTCAGTTTTGTTTGTATGATTGACATCATGTCTTTTATTTGCATTCAGATGTTAGAACCAGAACTATCCCTGTGCACAATAACAATTAAAATGTGTTCCCTCCAAGTTTGAGTAAGACCTCGCCATTAGGCATTTCACTCAGCCCCTCCTGTCAGTCACACTGATATCATTACTACCATCACAGCTTTTGTAGACAAAGAAAGTAAAACTCCTGAAATAATTTTTTCAAATCCATTAATAATTGGCAGAATGAAGTTGTAGATATGGGTTTTTTCTAGACTCAAACAGTGTGGTCATCCATCATAAATGAATTGATCCCTAATGGCCCAAGTGGAACAAAGGAATTTGCATGATATTAGTCTGTAAGTGGATAAGACAGAATGGTTCAGAAAGATCTAATAGGAGGATATCTGAAAGCAAAGTAAGTGCATATCTACACCACTATCGGAAAAGGTTTGTAATAGAGGAGTTGGTGGGGATATGGTGCTTTAATTGTAGGACCAACATCTATCATTGGTTAATGAAATCCAGAACTGTGGATGCATTCTGGTTCTTAAGAGATGGATGTTAAATTTTAAAAGTAATTAATGTATTATTGGTGTGTTTTAGAATTTAGATGTAGACTTTATATCTTATATAAAGAATATTATTGCTGAAGACACCAAATATGTAAAGTCCTAAATTCAGAGTCAGTATAAAAATAGATTGAAAGGGAAATTTCCTTTAATGACAGTAGAATAACAGATATGAATAAGAATACTCAGTACAAATAATTACTGTATCCGACAAAAGGCCATTCACTCAAAACAAAATGATGCCATAATATTTCATCTTCTTGGATATTTATTTTATGCTCTAATAATGTGACTAAGAAATAAGACAATACTGTTTTAGGATATTTTTGTTTTATTATTTGAAAGAAAATAATTCCTATTCAGGAAATTATATTACCTCTAAAATTGACTGCAAAGTATAAGACTTCGCTAAAGCAAATCACATAATACTGTGCATTACAAAAGGTGACATTATTGTGTCAAGATATACACTTTATACCAATTTACTATGGAGAACAATATGATATCTTGAATTTTAATAATCATTGAAAGACAGATAGATAATAGGTAGATAGATGGTGGATAGACTATGATAGATAGATACATAGATAGATAAATAGATATCCTTAGAAAAGAAGAAGCTGTTGTTTTCAGCAATATAGATAGATTTAGAGAGCATTATGTTAAGGCACAAAAAGATAATCACTGCATGATCTCATTTATACTAGAGTATAAAAATGAATTTATAGAAGTAACGAGTAAAATTGAACGAAATCTTAAGCCTCCTATACTTTTCTCTTTACTTGAATTGGACTTATCAAAAATGATATTTACATATGTATAAATACTCATATTCATATATTTTGCCAGGTGCATATACCTAAATATTTCATGTCGTTGTAAAGATATAAAATTTTATTAACTTAAATATAGCACCTGTGCCCATTTCTATTTCATTCCTGACTCTTCTTAACCCTTGACAGCTCATCTAATGGAATCCTGTTCCATTTTCCTGTCTAAAAATTCATACATGTTGGGTGGTATGTAGTTAATTAAATAAGTTTTATAATAGAGTGTGTGTTAACTGAATGTAATGACTGAATATTTATTCATTTATTTGCATTAAAATTAATACGTACTACTTGCTGAATAGGTTCCATTTATATAAAATGTTTCTTTAATGATGGGTATTTGGAGTTATTCCCATAGTGGAACATCCATGAACAAAACTTGCATGAACATCCTTGTGCTAATCTTTAGATGGACCTGTCTCCTCTATCTTGAAAAACGGTTTTGGAGTATAATTTTTTGTCAAATAATAAACATGGAACATTACTAAGCTTAGAAGATGCCTTATTTTCCAGCTCTAACTTTGCTCTTTCCATTTTACTTAGTCGACTGGAAAGCCTATTGTTCCATCATCTCAAATCTTGCTGCTCTGATTTTCAGTTTCAGGTATCATGACATTATGTGCTTATCATTCAATTACAGATGCTTAGTGATTTGGATAATTTTAATACATTTATATATTTCCTTTGCAAATTGTCAATTTAAGCCTCCTTACTTTCTCCCATTACCTTTAAAATCATTTGAAGACATATTTATATGCTCAAAACAAAAACTTTTTTGTTGAGAAGTATAATTAGGGATTGTGACTACTTCTTCCCATTATACACCTTCTACATTCACAATTTCACTAGAAAACTTCTAAATTTGGTACGATCAAATGGATGACTTTTTATAGTTATTGCATTTTTTATCTTAAGAAAACATTACTTTAAGTGTATAGTAAAATGTATTTTATTGTTGAATATAAAAACATTAGTTTTAAAGAAGATTTGTTTTATTTTTATTACTTGTTAAAGACTATTTTTAACTTAAAAATATTGTATTGATATATTTTAGATACATATGTCATAAGTTTGGAAGAATTCTATGTTAGACTTGAGATTTTACTCTCTTAAATATGATTAAAATTAGTTTTTCAAGGATTTATATTTATTGAATTAGTGCACTAATTCATCAAAATCAAGTTGCATATAACTGTGTTACTCTTTTAAATATGTTAAAATTAGTTTTGCAAGGTTATATGGTTATTGAATTATTACATTAATTTCTTTATAAAAATCAAACTGCATGCAACTCTCTATTTCACTCTAATTTTTCTAGTCTCTTTGATTGACCTTCATTGTGCAGGTACCACTTTTTCTTTAGTCTTTATTTTTCTAACAACCTTGAACTCTTTTAATGCATACTATTAAACTTTGTGATTTGTTTAATGGTAAATTTAGAATACACCTATTATCATTATCAAATAAGTTTTGCAGTTTTAGGGTTTTTTTTTCTTTCTTTCTTTCTTTTTTTTTTTTTTTTTTTTTTTTTTTTTTTTTTTTTTTTTTTTTTTTTTTTTTTTTTTTTTTTTTTTTGTTTTTGTTTTTCAAGACAGGATTTCTCTGTGGCTTTGCAGCCTGTCCTGGCACTAGCTCTTGTAGATCAGGCTGGTCTCGAACTCACAGAGATCCACCTGCCTCTGCCTCCCAAGTGCTGGGATTAAAGGCGTGTGCCACCACCGCCCAGCTTGCAGTTTTAGTTTTAACTGTTCTAAATTTATAACAATCTGGAAAGCATTTGCAGGTTAATAAAGTTCAGTCCACAATTTATGGCTACAAACACAGACACACACACACACGTTATATTCTTTCTCATTGTTCACAATTTTAGTGTTTATTGTTAAAAAGTGTATGTTTTGGGTTTTATGAATGCTGACATTTTTCAAATTTTAATTATTACTTTTTACTATATAGAGGTATAAATACTGAGATGTTAAATTATTGGCTACAAATTTTCAATTAAATGTTTATTACTTATTCTTCTTTTTCAGTACTGTTGATGCAACCTAGAGTCTTGTGGATGCTCATCAGAATTCTACCAATGAGTTCTATCCATGTCTCAGATTTATTAATATTTTATTTAATGTTTATGCATGCATATAATGTATTTGGATTCAATCCAATCTCCAATTCTTCTCCTATTTATAATTTTTCTTCCATCTTTATGTTCTTACTCTCTCTTTCTCTTTCTCTCTCTCATTTTTAAATTAATGTTCACTGAAATCAGTTAGTGTTGTATGTGTGTACAGATTTTATTTTGTGACATATTCTCATCAAGTTGCTCAGGCTGGCCTTGAACTCACTCTGGAGCTCAGTAGACCTTGAAAGTGGCAGAACCTTCCTATCTCAGTGTACTGCATAGCAGAGATTTCATTCCTGTACCTCCAGGATTGCTATCTTTTTTTCTTGGTGTGTTAAACATGAAGAAATTAAAAAGTATATTTATAAAATTGTTAAAAGTTCATATTCCTGACTTAATCTAAATCAGTATTTTCAGTGTTTTAGAATTTGGTATTATACTAGCTTAGATTTTCTTTATTTCTAAGTTTAAAAAAAATTTGCAAAACTATTAAAAATGGAAAGTAACCTTTTTGGTGGTTCTGGAGCCAAATAAAAGCTAGGCAAGCAATCACATGCTGAGCTAACCCTGGCATAAATGCTAAATATAATTGAATACTTTTCTTCTTCTATTATAATTAGAATGTCTTCCCATTCTAATTGCCTCTTTTATTTTTCCAGCATTTTGGGATTTCTCTTAAATATGCCTGAATCCCAGGTAACTTTAAAGAGTTAAAAAGGTATTAACTATTAAGAGTTTACTTGTTATCAATAACTTTCATGTATTTTCTTATTTCTTGCCAGAAATATTGAAGAATGATTGCAGATAATAATCTCCAAGAGTTTCAGAAGGATGTCCTCTGTCAATGAGAGTGCCTCGCACCCCCCTGCCTTCCTTCTGCTGGGCATTCCTGGCCTGGATGCTTTCCACGTCTGGATAGCCTTCCCCTTCTTTGTTGTTTATCTAATAGCACTTGTGGGGAATTTCACAATTCTCTGTGTGATCAAGAATGAGCAGAGTCTTCACCAGCCCATGTTCTACTTCCTTGCTCTACTCTCTTTCATTGATCTTGGCCTCTCCACATCTACTGTTCCCAAGATGCTAGGTATCTTCTGGTTTAACCTTACAGAGATAAGTTTCGAAGGCTGTCTCATCCAGATGTTCTTCATCCACACCTACACAGGCATGGAATCTGTTGTGCTCCTGGCCATGGCAATTGACCGTTTTGTTGCCATTTGTCACCCACTTAGATATACTTCTATTCTAACCAACAAGGTGGTAGCTCTCATGGCATCTGTTGTAGTAGGGAGGCCTGTCCTTCTTGTCATTCCCTTCTGTCCACTCCTTAAGCGATTGCCCTTCTGTGGACACTACATAATTCCTCATACCTACTGTGAACACATGGGGATAGCTCGACTAGCCTGTGCCAGCATAAGGATAAACATCATCTATGGCTTATTTACCATTGCTGCTCTGATCTTTGATTTAATTCTCATTGCTCTATCCTATGTTTGGATCCTACAGGCCGTTTTTCGCCTTCCTTCTAGAGATGCCAGACACAAAGCCCTTAGTACATGTGGTTCGCATGTCTGTGTCATCTTAGCCTTTTATACACCAGCTTTTTTCTCTTTTATGACTCATAGATTTGGTAGAAATGTTCCTCAGTACATTCATATCCTCTTGGCCAATCTCTATGTGGTTGTCCCTCCTTGTTTAAATCCAGTTATTTATGGAGTGAGGACAAAACAAATTAGGGAGGGAGTCATGAAAATATTTGTAAAGAAAGAGTAACTCAGATATCAGAGGTTCATAAATGCTGCCAGGTTGCTTTCCATCATTTGTCTTTCTCAGTGTTCTTCAATCAACAACTAAGTCAAGGGATATTCATACTCTTCAGGCATTACCATGGAGTCCTCATTAAATATTTTGTTTCAAAATGTCTACTTTGACTTTAAAAGTTTCTTACCTTTGTTATTTTTAATGAGAGTTATAGAAGATGGAGGAATGAAGTTTAAGTAAAAGCTGTAAAAAAGAGCTAATACCTATACCCCTCAAAGTGTTCCACATAATAGAAACAGAAGGAACACTGCTAAACTCTTCAAACTCTTTTTATGAGGCTACAGTTACCCTGATACCAAAATTACACAAAGATCCAACCAAGAAACGGAATTACAGACCAATCTCACTCATGAACATGGATGCAAAAATTCTCAATAAAATACTGGCAAACCGAATCCAAGAACACATTAGAAAAATTATCCATTATGATCAAGTCGGCTTCATCCCAGAGATGCAAGGCTTGTTCAACATAGGAAATTCTATCAATGTAATCCATCATGTAAATTATGTAAATCATTAGATGCCAAAAAAGCATTTGAGAAAATCCAACACCCCTTCATGATAAAGGTCTTGGAGAGATAAGGCTGTTCACTCTCGATAGCTCTTCAACATAGTTTTAGCAACAGCAATAGGACAACAAAAGGAGATCAAAGGGATTCAAATTGAAAAGGAAGAAGTCAAACTTTTGTTATTTGCAGATGATATGATTGTGTACATAAGTAACCCCAAAAATTCTACCAAAGAACTTTTATAGCTGATAGGAGTATTGCAGTAATGTGGCAGGATACAAGATCAACTCAAAAAATCAGTAGCCCTTCTATACACAAATGATAAAGCTGAGAGGGAAATTAGAGAAACATCACCTTTCACAATAGCCACAAATAACATAAACTATCTTGGGGTAACACTAACTAAAAAAGTGAAAGACCTATTTGACAAGAATTTTAAGTCTTTGAAGAAAGAAACTGGAGAAGATACCAGAAAATGGAAAGATCTCCCATGCTCTTGGATAGGAAGGATCAAAATAGTACAAATGGTAATTCTACCAAAAGCAATCTATAGATTCAATGCAATCCCCATCAAAACCCAAACAGAATTCTTCATAGACCTTGAAAGAACAATAATCAACTTCATACGGAAAAAATTAAAACCCAGGATAGCCAAAACAATTCTATATAATAAAGGAACTTTTAGAGGCATCACCATTCCTGACATTGACATTACAGATCTACAGTAATAAAAACAGCTAGGTATTGGCATAAAAACAGAGACGTTGACCAATGGGATCGAATTGAAGACCCGGATATTAATCTACAAACCTATGAACACCTGATTTTTGACAAAGGAGCTAAAATTATACGATGGAAGAAAGAAAACATCTTCAACAAATGGTGCTGGCATAACTGGATGTCAACCTGTAGAAGAATGAAAATAGATCCATATCTATCTCCATGCACAAAACTTAAGTCCAAATATATTAAAGACCTCCATATAAATCTGACCACATTGTACCTGACAGAAGAGATAGTGGGAAGTACTCTTCAATGCATGAGCACAGAAGACCACTTCCTAAATATAACCTTAGTAGCACAGCCACTGAGAGCAACAGTAAATAAATGGGACCTCCTAAAACTGAAAAGCTTCTATAAAGCAAAAGACACAGTCAAAAAGATTCTCTAATATATGGAAAATGGTATTTATTTTATCAATAGCAAAAATTACATATAGATTTTATAAAAAGGAAAATTTTGATGGCATACGTGTCTTAAGGATTTGAATCACGAATCATTTTTTTATCTAAATGCCTTAAGTACCCACTTCTCTTCCAGTATTACCCTTATTTACATGATTCTCCTTAATTTTTATAATTATTACAGCCTTTGTGATATTTATTTCTCATGTGTATCTCTGTGTCAAATTCAATTTTACCAATAAATGATGTTATAGTAACAAAATTAGAAAAAGAGTTTACATGAAAATAAAATGAGACAATAAAGCCTTACATAAACCTACATTTAAAAACATCAACCAAGTTTACAAAATTTGAAGTTATTTTCTAAGAGGCATTTATTTCACAATTGCAAGGGAATGCCTGAGACCATCTGTATATGACTTAAGATGTAGCTGAGTGGTAGAGTAAATGTGCAATATTTCCTTTTATGAAAGATTTATTTTACTCTCTTTATATGGATATTCTGCTTGCATGCATGTATATGCACCACATGCATGCCTGTTGGATACCCTAGAACTGGGGTTATATGTGGTATGAGCCACCATATGGGTACAGAGAATTGATATCAGGTCCCCCACAAGAGCAACTATCTCTCAAACCTTTTACATTTTAAAACTTACACATCAGACACCTTTTTGACAGCCTTTCCCACAATTAACAGCAAACTATAACTGTATAGAACCTTTGTTAATAGGCTAAATCTTTAAAAGTTTTATTTATTGTGTATGAAATGAACACTCTTTAAACTCTGTGTATACATTGATGAGTAATTACCATTCTTACTCCAAACTACTTTTCCTAATGCATCTACAGTGACACTATAAATTATATTGCAGCTACATTATCTTTCAAATGAGTATATTATATGTATAATCATGACCCCCTTTCTTTGTAAATACAACCCTTCTACTTGAAATTCTGAAATACATTTTTTACTCAATTAACACCAAATTTTGTTTTTAGGATCCAAATGAAATCTAAGACAATATATCATTGGCCAAGTTCAATGATATGTAATGTTTCACTGAGTGGTAGGAACAAGAGAATGAGCTAGAAAAAGGACTTTATGGGTGCTGGAAACTTTTGACATCGTATTTTTGGTGAAGGTTCCTAGTAGTGTACATAGAGTACATTACATCAAGATTGTTACACTTAGGTGAACACTTAGGTGGTTAGGTTTACTTCAATGCTATTACATAACAGCTGCTGCAAAAGTTAACACACCCATCTTACTATGGAATCACACTCTTGTTTGTCTTGACTAAATAGCAAATAATGGGATTATTGGAAGACAATGTAGATATGTATCTATTTGCTTGGAAACTTTCAGTAGAGAGAAAAATGAAAACATTAATATAGCATTTGAAAAATAGAACATGAACATGATGTTTATATCAAGAATTTAGCTATCAAGTATAAGAGGAAATATTTTTATAATATTTTTGTGGAAATGATAAAATTATGTTAACAGTCAGTGGGTTGCCTTTCTGTCTTAGCAACAGTGTCCTTTGCTTTACAGAAGCTTCTCAGTCTCAGGAGGTCCCATTTATTCAATGAGGCCCTTACTGTCTGTGCTGCTGGGGTTATACGTAGGAAGTGGTCTCCTGTGTCCACGTGTTGTAGAGTACTTCCCACTTTCTCTTCTATCAGGTTCAGTGTGTTCGGACTGATATTGAGGTCTTTAATCCACTTGGACTTGATTTGTGCATGGTGATAGATATGAGTCTATTTTCATTCTTCTACAGATTGACAGAGAAGGAGAGAGAGCATGAGCAAGGAACTCAGGACCGCGAGGGGTGCACCCACACAATGAGACAATGGGGATGTTCTAGTGGGAACTCACCAAGGCCAGCTGGCCTGGGTCTGAAAAAGCCTGGGGTAAAACCAGTCTCGCGGAACATAGCGGACAATGAGGACTACTGAGAACTCAAGAACAATGGCAATGGGTTTTTGATCCTACTGCACGTATTGGCTTTGTGGGAGCCTAAGCAGTTTGGATGCTCACCTTACTAGACCTGGATGGAGGTGGGTGGTCCTTGGACTTCCCACAGGGCAGGGAACCCTGATTGCTCTTTGGGCTGACGAGGGAGGGGGACTTGATGGGGAGGCGGCGGTGGGGAAGAAACAGAAATCTTAAATAAATAAATAAATAAATAAATAAATAAATAAATAAATAAGAAGTACAGACCTAAATAGAAAGCTCTCAACAGAGGAATCTAAAATGGCAGAAAGACACTTAAGGAAATGCTCAACAACCTTAGTCATCAGAGAAATGCAAATCAAAACAACTCCTGAGATTCCATCTTACACCTGTAAGAATGGCCAAGATAAAAAACACTGGTGACAGCTTATGCTGGAGAGGATGTGGGGTAAAGACAACACTCCTCTATTGCTGGTATGAATGCAAACTGGTACAACCCTTTTCAATGTCAGTGTGGCGATTTCTCAGAAAATTAGGAAACAACCTTCCTCAATACCCAACAATATCACTTTTGGGTATATATCCAAAGGATGCTCAATTGTGCCACAAGGACATGTGCTCAACTATGTTCATAGCAGCGTTGTTTGTCATAGCCAGAACCTGGAAACAATCTAAATGCCCCGCAACCAAAAAAAAAAAAAAAAACAGACAAAGAAAATGTGGTCCATTTACACAATGGAGTACTACACAGCAGAAAAAAATTAATGATGTCTTGAAATTGCAGGCAAGTGGATGGAGCTAGAAAACATCATATTGAGTGAGGTAACCCAGATCCAGAAAGACAATTATATGTATTCACCCATAAGTGGTTTTTAAACATAAAGCAAAGAAAACCAGCCTACAATTCACAATCCCAGAGAACCTAGACAACAATGAGGACCTTAAGAGAAACATACATGGATCTAATCTACACGAGAAGTAGAAAAAGACAAGTTCTCATGAGTAAATTTGGAGCATGGGACCATGGGAGAGGGCTGAAGGGGAGGAGAAAGGAAGGGAGCAGAGCAGAGAAAAATGTAGAGCTCAATAAAATCTATTAATAAATTAAAAAATTATGTTAACACCATTTATGTTCTTGTATGAGAAATAAAAGAAGCTAAACACATAAAATATAAAAGATTGACGAGACCTATTCAAACAACTAAATGAAGTAGAGAAACTAAAACAGAGTCTCTGTTTAGGTAAACGTCAAGGAAAAGAAGAGAAAGAAGTAGAACAAAATTGGCAACTGTAAGTTTGTTTATTTCTGTAAAAATAGAATTAATTTTGTGTGTATCTTGAGCCTTCACAGATGACTGTGGAGCTTGATAAATTTCAGAATGTTGGAAATACTGAACACAGACTCATCTGTGATGATCTCACAAGAGTAGGGAGTGTCAGAAACTGAGTCGTATTCTGAGGGGAGTAAGCTTCTGAGAAGATACTTGTGAAATCTTTGGTCAAATGGTATAGCTTCATCCTCTTTGTGCTGATTGCTATTAACTGAAGCTGACAGAGAAAGGAGGTTGCCTGTTGTCTTTTTCTTTTTGCAATTATTGTGTCATTGGTGTCATTTAACAAATGAGAGATTTATTAATCTTGGCATTTTAAATGTCTGCCAATTACTGACATTGAAATGCACAAAGGTTAATGATATATGCTTACTACCTAGGGATTTGGGGAGATCCCCAATTAAACTGTATAAATGTACACACACACACACACACAGTCACTTAGTGACAACAAACAATATCAAGGAAAGGGGAGCTGTGTGTGAAGAATTCTAATGAAGTTATTTCAGGACTATGTGAGTATTGGAGAAAGATGCCATAGATTCAGGCATGGGTGCTGAAACTGACTACCCTGGCACTTGAGAGGAGGAGGCAAAAGGGCCATGCTTCCTCAGCTACATGGCAAATTAGAGGCCATCCTGGAGAACTTGAGACTATGCCAGTCAACTCCACCAACTAACCCAACAGGAAAGATGTGCTGGTATTGGTATGCTTCATTTGATTTTGACCTAACTATTTAAAGAATTAGCTCACTTGCCTCTACCTGCACATTTGTAAGTAGAAATTAATTAAATTAATTAAAAGATATTTTAGATATTTTGGATAACATGGGGATCTTTTCTTTTGGGCTATTGTGTATTATGCAATATATGGTTAAGAGGACTGAAATAGTGTAGTAAGAACAGTGATACATTATAAAATAAGATGTCCTTAAAAATTGGATAATAACAAATTTTCTGATGTTTCAATAGTGGAAACTTAGAAAAACTTACACACAAAAAAAGCAGATTTTAATTGTATTCAAAAGTAAAATTATGGGTTTCAGTTTATTTTAGTCATTGAATTCTTTCTTGGCATTTACAGAATTTGATTACCAGTGCATAAAACATGAATTCACACAGGCACAGATATACCAGTGGAAATCAATACAAAATATCACCTGGAGGAACTGGCAGTCATTAAGTAGTTGGTTAAAGTTGATGGTAGGCACCACTGGTGAATTTATGTGAGGAGTTCTTACTCATCCACTTTAGCTCCAGGTCTTGATAGACAACAGAGGGTGGAAAAGATAGCTAAGAAATCTCATACTTCCTTGACCTTACTGTTACAGTTTTCAGAATCATCAGCTATGATATGATGCATGGTAAGACAGTTCTTTTTGCCAAGAAGACCACATTTCAATTTAAAATATCAGTTAACTTTCGATGTGTGTGTTCTAGTCCCGATGTTAGTTGTATTTGTGGAGTTGAAAGGACAGGGATCTTTGTAGCTCACACCGTGTAAAGTACAGTGGCTCTTCCATCAGCTTCTAGCTGTGCTGGAACTTTGCACTGACATCACCAACACAGCCCAGTCCAAGCTTCAGACCACCCAGGTTTAGTTTTCTCTCTACAGATCTTAAAGTGGGAATAACAAAATTTATTTTAGTAAAAATATAATTTAGAAGTTTTAAGACTACTTTATACAGAGACAATTAATATTCCCCTTTTATTTTCAAAGTATTACAGAATTGTAGAGTTTATTGGAATTCTATTGAATATAGATAAGGAAGTTGTCATTAACTACTTTGGGACTGTAAGTACAATAGTATATTATGCAATTATCTGTGAAAATATAACTAAAATGTGCAATATTCTGAGTTATGTAAACACAGATTTTTAGTCTGTACAATGCTGCTCGTGTGAATTTAAAAGGGAACATATGGACAAGTACATGTAAGGAACATATGGAGAAGTACATGGGTGGAAAGTACATGGGTGGAACGTATGGAGAAGTACATGGTGGGTTTAAAATTAGGAAAAAGAAGGTAGAAGTGATGGAATTATAATCTCAAGAAATAAAAATATTAAAAGATGCATTAATTTAAATCACCCCCATTTTAGGAAAAATAATAAAAGAAAATTAAACACGGGGGGAAACAACTGTTTATTGTGTCTGAGAAAGCTTGACAGCATTTGAATTATGAAGAAAATATGACAAAGATGAAATAAAAAACAGACCATAAAGCTCCCGAATCTGATCTATTTGTCAAGCAAAATTTTCTGTCAGGGCAAAGAACACCCCAGACGCCATCTTACTTCTTTTGAGTACCCTTAGTTATCACTCCGTTTTCTTCCAGTAGACATTGGTTACATGTTGTAATATGCTATTTCAGAATTCTAAGGTTCATCAGGTGGAGACCCTACTATCTCTTGTAAGAACTGGGATTTCAGAAGTAAGATACATAAGTAACCTCTATTAAGTTACTATGTGATTCTAAAACCCAGAAGGGATAAATAAGAATTACTTGATTTAATTAAGAAATTGGCACCATTAAAATACAGTGCACAGAATGCTAAAAACTAAGAAAATAAGTGAAAGCAGAAATGCACAGGAATTAGCATACGGCACAAGGTGTTACCTGTATTCCAACCATAACCACACGGTGACTGCTAGTGAGAAGAATCTGGGATGCACATCTCTCTGTCTCCAGGTGCCTCTTTTGGGGGACTTTTCTTCTCATCTATTACAAAGAATCTGTCATTTCCCTCTGTTTGTTTTACTCTTCAACATTCCAAAGACTGTTCTGGTTTTGAGAACGTCAGACTTTTAATTAATTTTCCTATATTTAGTTTAAGAATTCTTCCACATACTGATCTTTTGGAGAGAATATTTCACTGAATATGTGATAAGAAAGGGGAGTATCCTTAATATATAGATGATGAAACTGGAACTCAGGTTTAAGCACATTTTCGAAGCGGGAAGTGGGCTTCAAGTGCTGGTAGCCAGACCCTATTACTGATTATTTTTTCAGATCTTTGTTTTAAACACTCATTGAAAACAAGGCAGATAATCTAATAACCATGCAGTGTGGGAAGTGTAATACATTGTTTGACTTTAAACTGTTAGGCAATTCCTGAATGAGAAAAGGAAGCTTCTCTACCTCCTGGCACAGCCAGGCGTAGGAGTCAGACGTGTCGTGCAGCTCTTCCGGCATTTCTCCACACTGCTTTCCCAGATACCATGTGCAAACAGCAAAACAAAATGCTTTTCACATTGTTTACACAACCAGTACTTACGGCTCTTTAAAACTCAATCCATTCACTGGTGGTGGTGCTGAGGAGCAAGAAACAGGAGCTCAGTGATTTGTCACCCCTGTTTATGAAAGAATTTGTGCCCCAGTGTAATTTTGTTCCCACATAAATGCACATAATACAAAAACAAAGCCTGAACTTAACTGACAGAGTTCACATAACTGCCAACCATGGAGAAAACAGAACAGTTCTCCATTGATATTTCATAACATCTTCCCTTCAGAGGATCCTGATATGAATAGATGAAAATCTTTTATGGAAGATATTGGGGTCAGTGTTTATATATGAAAAGACTGGAGAAATTCTAAATATTTCTAAATAGACTGATAAATAAACCTGTAATTAAAGTGATGTAAAAGTTTTAAAATAATTTGATCTCCCAAAAATTATATTCAAAGATCTTCAAGGAGCTTTGTTTTTTTATTTTAAATTACTTGTTTTCGAACCCATATTTAATTCTTTACTCACTTGATACAAGTATAATTCTCAAATTACCATAAAATTTCCCTTAAAAGTTTACAATGAGCAAAATATTTTCATTTCATGTACATTTACATACAATTTTATTACTTAACTACTGTGTTCTAATAAGCTTTCACGAGTCTCTGAAAACAATGGTATTATTATATGGTAAAAAATTTAAGTCAAAACTCCTAATGCTGCCAGATATATGTTTGGTGCCTCTGACAAGAGACCATAGCCAACTAGGAGCCTTCTGAAGTTCTGATTAAAAACACCAATGCCTTGGGCTCACATACCTGACACGTCTCAGAGCTACCCCAAGGGATGAATGTAAATTGGGAAGAGCTAACACCTTGTTCCTCAAGGAACCAGCAAACAGAATCCCAACTGTCCATAGCAGATCTGAGCTACTGTTTCCATCCCCTACAGCAGAGATTTTACATAAGAAACAATGCCTTGTCTTCTCTAGAGTAAAAATCATAAAGCAGAGTAAAAATATCAATGGTCTTGTGAGTGGTGTACAAACTGACCTGAGTCTTGTGCTTTCTGTTCTCTTGCATAGAGCTGTGGGCTTCAGTACCTCCACTGGGACCTCAGACTAGTTTATTGAGAATCCACACCAACCCCCCGAGCCACTCTGCCACAGTGAATCACCTAAATTCTTTGTTGATGTGTGACTTGCATTGGATAGCTGGGAAAGTTCCAATAATATCCATATATTCTTGAAAATCTAAACTATAATATACTTATGACAATTAAGTTTCCTATATCAAGAGTCTGATGGTAGGAGAGCCAAATTTTGGTTCTTAAAAATAAGGCTTTTTACAGTAGAGGATTTGATATGATCTCTAGTTGGAAGAACTTCCACTCTCGAAACCAGAATGTCTTGATAAGAGACAGTGCTCACATTATACATACTTTGTCCTAGAAGAATCTCATGTAAACTGCCTCTTGTCTACAACAGGTAATGTATCCTCAACAGGGGTTAAAGAGGAAAACATTCACAGCCAAGTCACCAAACACAACTGAAATAGCCAATAGTAACTTAAAGACTTCACATATGACATTGTGAGGTTGACTTGCAGTCAGAGAAGAAACTTGTTCATGAATTCTCTGTAAGTTCTAACTTAATTTTGCATTTTTAAATTGAAACTGGAATGTAAAAATCCTCTTAATACCACATACTTTACTCACTTTCCAGCATTCTATTAAGGAACAATCAAATCCTCATTCACTGAAGGAACATTGTGTTTTATCAGTCCCTTTTATAATTACAATTATTACACTGAGAAACAACAGATTTCTCAATAAATTGATGAAATAAAGACTGATTCTAACATGATTAAAAATATCTGTCCAAATTTTTCCCAGTGCTCAGAAAACTTTCCTAGGGGAAGAATGGCTCATAGATAATGCTCCCGTGGGATCACTGATTAGGTAAAGAGACAACTCAGAATTTTTTTTCAATTTCATGACTAAAGGTTGCCGTCTAGAAATAGAGAAAGAACAGATAGATAAAACGTCCAAGCAAATCAGCCTGAAGGCCCAGAAGAGGCACAGCAGTTTTACCTCTTTCATGGAACTACTGAAGGTTTCATGTGAGCGTTTGCTTCTGCTACTGTGACAAGCATCATAGACCTTTCATCAGGCTCTGAACAAAGAACCCCTGGAGGCCATGGTTTCTATTCAAAATTTGCTATGGTTGAATGCTAGTGACTGACGAAGAGTGAGCTTAATTAAAGACATAAATGTTTTCACTTCCCTCCCAAGCTCTCTTTCTCAGATATCATGATCAGTGAGTGGCAAGACACAGAACGATGAGCTCAGTGGCAACCAACAACATGTCATATCTCAACCCTAGAACTGTAATTTTGACTGGAATCCCCGGACTAGAGCATGTGCAGTTTTGGATTGGATTTCCGTTCTTCGCAGTGTGTCTAGTGGCTCTTTTGGGAAATATTGTTTTATTGATCATCATCCCAGCTGAGCGTAGCTTGCACCAGCCCATGTATATCTTCCTGGCTGTGCTGGCAGCTACAGATATAGGACTCTGTGCAGCAATTGCTCCCAAGATGTTGGCCATCTTTTGGTTCAGAGCTTATTCTATGGTCTTTGATGCCTGCCTAACTCAGCTATTCTTCATCCATACTTTACAGTGCATGGAGTCTGGTATTCTCTTGGCAATGGCTTTTGATCGCTACATTGCCATCTGTGACCCTCTGAGACACACATCTGTCCTTACGCCTTCAGTTCTGCGTCGTATGATAGTGGTGGTGGTAACTCGAGCAGTAATACTAGTAGGTCTGTTACCAAGTCTTATAAAAAGACTGCATCTTTTTCATTCTGTTCAGATTGCCCACTCTTATTGTGAACACATGGCTGTGGTGAAGCTTGCAGCAGATGATGTACAAGTCAATAAAATATGTGGTCTTTTTGTGGGCTTTAGCATTCTGGGATTTGATATGACTTTTATCCTCATATCTTATGCACTGATTTTCCAGGCTGTTTTTCATCTTCAACAGAAAGAGGGACGGATCAAAGCCTTTAACACCTGTACAGCTCATATTTTTGTTTTTCTAGAGTTTTATATCCTTGCCTTTTTCTCCTTTTTCAGCCACCGTTTTGGTCATGTTGTTCCTTCAACCCATATTCTTCTGTCTACCATCTACCTCCTCCTGCCTCCTGCTCTCAACCCTATTGTGTACGATGTAAAAAATATGGTCATTCGTAGGCGGGTGGAACAGATCTTTCTTCTAAATCGTGGATGTCAGCAGTGATCTGGTAGATACTGCCTTGCAGAAAAGGCTGTTGCTTTCTGGAGATGGGGGAGGTTTCTGCTCTGTGCTCATTGTAGGGCTTTCATATCCTCATAACGGACCAGGACAGAATTCATTCCCACAATTACAAGTGGATTGAAATAAAAAGTCTTCAGAATAAGATTTACATCAGATCCCCATCTCTGAAATATTTCATATCAAATATAGAACTAATATTTCCTTTGTTTTAATTAGGTTCAATCTGCAGTACATGTAGTTTTTGATTAAGAATAAAAGTATTAGTTATTTGTTGTTTGTGCAAGGAAAAAATTTTAATATATCATCTCATATATGGTTCATTTTAGTTGTCAATTACATTGTATCATTTATATTTTGCATTTTGTCCAATTCAATTAAAATAATAAAAATAAATTAAAATTTAATAGAATCAATACCCACTTTGATTATTATGGTATTAATTAACTATTGAGATTTTTATTGATTTCTAAAAAAGTTTTTGTTTACTTGTAACTTAATCATTGCCATCAGAACATGCTAATATTTGCATTTTGTTCCATTATAACCTTTATGCTGTACTATGTGGCTTTGTAATTAACATGTTTATTATTTATTGTATTGTTCATGTGTGTGTGTAAATGATCAGTTTATAATTTAACTTAAGGGATTAGAAAGTTTGCTCAGTGGTTATAAGCACGTTTTACTCTTGCAAAAGACCCTGGTTTGGTTCCTATCATACACATTGTGATTTACACCCACATATCACTTCAGTTCCGGAAAAATCTCACACCTTTTTCTGAACTCTTTGGGCAGGAAGTATGTACTTGTTGCAAATTTATATATGAAGAAAAAACATTCATACACAAATAAAAAATACATAACTGAAAGTAAATACATTGAAATTCAAATGAGTAATTAATAGACAAAATCTCAAATAGAGAAACAGCGATATCTCTCCAGAAAAAAAAAATAAATCACTGACATAAAGAAATGAAATTATAAACTAAATTCTATATGTTGCATAAGGATAAAACATATTTTAATAAACATGTGCCAACAAAAATCAATTATATACACTTATTACACTTCCTGGTGGATATAAGTTTTAAAACTGTTCTCTAAGTGAACTTGACTCCTGTTCTAAAGGTGGAAATACATGCCTGTAGTATTGTGAAGATGTAAGCACATGCTTAGCACCATGGGCATGAAGATGGAATTCACTGCAGTTGTCTATCTAAATCAGCGAAGCTTCAAACTGACTTCTAAATGTTTAAATATATATAGACAACTTTTGTGTCAGTCTCAATAAGAGAAGTTTCTCTTTGCTGTGAAAGACACTGAATGCAGAGACACACGGATGTTCAAATCCCATAATAAGTGATTCCTGAAGGCTCATTCCTGAACAAAACATGTGTATAACCTAACTAACATACAGGGGATATTGAGGAAGAGGGGATACAAAAATTTAAGAGCAAGAAGTTAGGGAGAAGGGCTGCAAAATGTCATCTTTGGGAATGATATAGCCATTGTATTTATAAATTGATAGTAGCTATGGCTACCTATACTGGGAAGACACATGAGTCATCACATATGGGCACATATGGGCACTATCCCTTTCTGCTGAACTGTCATCTACTTACATATTCTGGGAGAGGAGGGATCATCGCTATTACCTATGTACTCTCTGGTGAGTCCACCAGATTCCAATAGTTAATTATGAACCTATGGTCAAACTAATGGCCTTTGCTAAACCCAGCACATCACAAATAAAATAAAAACACTTGAATGTAAGAAAGGTATTTCAGGAAAGAGGGCTATTGGAGGGAGATGATAGAAGATGGTGGATGAGAATAACCTGAATGAACTAAAGAATGAATTTAATGAATAAAAATTATAAGTCATTCTCTCATTAAAAACATCTAAATCTTATATGGTAAAGCTGTCTACTTTCTCCATAGCCATCATATATAGTACATGATTTTCTAGATAGAGCAATAAGATAATTAAAGGTGATTAAGAGGATAAAAATTAGGAAGAAGCCAAAATATTATTTGCAGACAATATTATAGTATATACAAGCAACCCTAAAAATTCTACCAGAGAACTTCTACAACTTATAAACACTTTCAGCAATGACTGGATAAAGATTAAAGAAACAAAACAAAACAGAATCCTACTGCATACAAAGATAAGTGAACTAAGACAGAAATTAGAGAAACAACATCCTTCATAATAGCCACACACAGTATAAAATATCTTGGGGTAACCCTAATTAACCAAGTGAAAGACTTGTAGGACAAAACTTAAGGAAAACCTGAGGAAAGAAATTGAAGAAGATATCAGAAGATGGATCAGTAGAATTAACATAGTAAAAATGATCATCCCACCAAAAGCAATCTACAGATTCAATGCAATCCTTATCAAAATTCCAACACAACTCTTTATGGACCCTTGAAATGCCAACACTCTATTTCATATGGGAAAAAAAAAAACAGGATAGCTAAAACAATCCTGAACAATAAAGAACTTCCAGAAGTATCACTATTCCTGATTTAAAGTTGTACTACAGAGCTAGAGTAGTAAAAAAATGTATATTGGTATAAAAACATATATTGCTCAATGAAATCAAATTGAAAAAGTGGACATAAATCCACACATCTATGGATAGAGGTGATAAAGAAATACACGCTGGATAAAAGAAACTGTCTTCAACAAATGGTACTGGTCTAACTGTAGAAGAATGCAAATCCATATTTATCACCCTGCACACACTCAAGTGCACATGAAGCAAATACCTCAACATGGATCCGGACACACTGAACCTGATAGAGGAGAAAGAAGAAAATAGCCTTTAAAGCAATGGCACAGGAAAAGACTTCTGAACAGACATAGTTAGCACAGAAACTAAGACGGACTCAAAGCGGGGTCACTGAAGACTGAAGCAGCAACCACAAAGCCTACATGGATCTGTTGTAGGTTCTGTGCATACATGCTGTGGTTGTTTAGCTTGGGGGTTTTGTAGGACTTCTAGCAGTAAAAGTAGGGTTGCCTCTGACTCCTTTGCCTATTCTTTGGACCCCATTCCTGCTACTAGGCTGCTTTGTCCAGCCTTGATATGAGGGTCTGTGTGTGACCTGTCTCATTGCATCTCATTATGCCGTGTTGTTTGGTTGATAGCACTGGGAGGCCTTCTCTTTTCTGAATAGAAACAAAGTGTGCTTGGGGGAGTTGGTAGGTGGGGGTAGGATTGGGAGGGATAAAAGCAGGGGACACTGGAATAGTGATATATTGCATGAAAGAAGAATAAAAAAGAAAAAAAGAAAATCAGCTTTCATATAGTCTAACTTATCATCTTCCCTGGGTAATTCTATTAATTGATTTATCAAAAGAGACTATGAATCGCAGAATAGTTTCAGAAAATGCAACATTAGTACATTAAAAAGATTGTATATTGAATTTGAAGGAATTTGAACAATTCACGAAAGATTCTGTGACAAAATCTTTGGCTGACTTCACTGTTAGTAGAGAATATCAGAAATTCTCCCTACCACTGGAAGCAATTAAAAGGCATTTGATTTCCACCATTTCCACTACAAAGTGTGTTTGCAAACTTGGTATAGTAAGGCAGTAGGCAAGGATGTAGAAAGGAAAGAAGACACAAAGCTGTTTCTATTTACCAGTAGCATTGTTCCTCAGCTATAACGAGGGGTGGAGAGTGACACGGAAAGAGGCAACGGGAGTCGAGGGCACATTCTCAAGTGGAGTTCAGAAGAGGTGGACGTATGCAACGCTTTAGTGCTGAGACAAGGCGTACTCCCCTTTACTCTTGAAACCGCAAATACTATAATACTTTGAGAGAAATTTAGTAATACAGTAGTAGTTTTCAGGGGTACATGACTAAAAACTCTAGTGACACTGTATTTTATAACATAAGTAGTAATTTCTTTCATTTTGCTTTAAAAGTGGCCATAGGCAAGAAGGTTGGTCAAAAACAACAGTAACTTTATGTAATCATGTATGTATGTATGTATGTATGTATGTATGTATGTATGTATGTATTCTAGGCAAACAGAGATCAGGGTGCAGAGATCAGGTCCTGGGCGCTCCACTGGTGTACTCACATAAATAAATTACTGTTATTTTTGGGGCAGGGAAACAAAGTGGTCAAACCCAAGATTAATCTATCAATCAATTTCTAGTTGTTTTTAAACTTTTCTCTTTCTTGATATTTTAATTATTGACACTTTGAATTCTATGAATGATACACATATGGTATGCTATAGTTTGGAATATGTCTTGACAAAATTATTTGGCAAAGTATACAGGGTTTAATATAATTTTTCTTTAATATTAACTAAAGGACATTTATTTGCTTATTTAGAGAAAAATGGAAGCAAGAACCTGTAATAAAGTCTTTATGTTTGCGTATCTTAAAAATAAATTCTTTGTTTTCCTATTTTACATGTTTCCTATGGCTTCTGATTGTTGTTTTCCAGATTCTAAATTGTCTCAGGTCTATCAGGTTACAGCAGCGACCCACAATTTCCTCTTATAAAACTCTTGTTGATTAGAAATAGCTTCCTATGAGGTAGATACTCGTGCAAGGGCTGTACAACTTCAAGTAATGACAGATTTTCCAAACAAACTAGAGATAGATATCAGAAATGTAGCAGCCTTCCTCCAGGGACCAGGTTAAAATATGGACCTGGGAACAGGTGAATTCTAAGAAAAGCCAAGAAGAGGCTGGAAGCAGATGATGCAAGGTGGTAAGATATTAATTTCTTTCCAATTTTAAACTGCATCAGAGAATATCTGTTCCATCTGGCTACTTTTCTGTCTGGGTAAGTGTCTTCTCCATGTATTAAGACCTCATATACCTAATTTATGGTTGTAGCCAATTTTAAAAGGAAGCAAACCAATAAAAATGAGCATCAGACAATTTCATCACGAGTGTGTTGATAATTGATATTCCTCTACCAGGAGCCAGTTTTCTTTCCTGAACC